CCTTTTCCCTTGTTCTTTTTGTTGTCTTCATCTTTGGAGGATGTAAATTATCGTTTGAATCTCACAAGATTTGTGTCGGAGTGTTTAACACCATCCTTTCAGATATATAGATTATATCTACTAACAAAAAGTCTCATTTGCTCATCATATGATTTTTCTTCATCACACAAATCATTATCATTAGCTTGCTCTTCCTTTAAGAATCTAGAATTTGAAGCCTTAAGAGCTTTTGACTTCATTCCTTCCTCCTTATTTGTTTCCTTATCCTTTTTCCTCCTTTTCTCAAGCTTCTTTTCATGTTCATCCAAGCAATTTAGTTCTTTATCGTGTTCTTCTAAATTTTCGAACAAGGTGGTGAGATCAAGAGTTGTAAGATCGTTGGCTTCTTTGATGGTCGTAACCTTCGGTTGTCAATTCCTAGTAAGATACCTCAAAACCTTGTTAGTAGCTATAGCATTGGAAATAAGATTACCTAGCAAGTTTAAATGATTAATAAGGTGTGAGAACCGCTTTTGCATTTGAGCAATGGTTTCACCATGCTTCATGCTAAAGAGTTCGAATTCTTGATTAAGTGTATTAATCAGAGCTTGTTTGACCTCATTAGTTCTATCATGGGAAACTTGTAGAGCATCCCACATAGCCTTAGCAATTGCACAATGAGAAACACGATAAAATGCATTGACACCGAGAGAGGATATCAAAATGTTTTTCACTTTCCAATCGTGTGACCACTTCTTATTATCTTCGTCATCCCATAGTACTTCGGACTTAGGTAAGGTAACACTTTCCACAACATGTGTGATTGGTGTAAGTTCATTTTGAATGACCTCCCAAACAACTTTATCATAAGAGTTCACATGAATTTTCATACAAGCTTTCCAATAACCATAATTTTCTCCCGTAAATATTGTAACTCTTTTGTAATCCATTTTAGGTTCGTGAGCCATTTTCTAATAAGCGTTTCGAAGAACAAAATGAACCGGGCTCTTGATGCCACTTGTTAGACGACGACGAATTGTATAGAGGGGGGTGAATAGACACCTAAGCCAAAATCACCAAATAAAATTTGGGTTTTAAAGTTATTTGAAAAAGAGTGCACGCGAAAGGTTTTGGTGTGGATCGACAAAAGTCGTCTACACGAACCTAGTTATTGGAACTCAGATATGCAAAGCTGATTATGAAATGACAAGCAAAATAAATGAATTTAACATTTAATCAAGTATCACGTTATTACTCATTTAAACTAACTATTTAGTAATGCTATTTCTAATGATAATAAGCAGAAAGTATTGAACTGAGCAATTTATCAAACACTTGGTTAGCGAACGAATTTTCAGAATTTCCTTTGTGTTGTTGTTGATATGAAAACCACTTATAATTAAAAGTGACTATAAGCTAATCAACAACCAAGTTAGAATAGAAAGATCACAGGAAAATTCTTACGAGTCGATCGATTAATCAATATTATTTGACAAATTGTGTAATGAAAAATAAAGCGAGTAAAAAGATAATAGAGAGATCGACACGAGGATTTGTTCACGTAGTTCCCCACTTTCGTTCTTGCATGTGGGTACGTCTGCGCCTAATTTCCAATGTGGAATTAGGATACTTTCTTACTATGCAAAAAGTCGATATACAAGAAAAGTGTTCAGAGTAACCATACAAACACAACCGGTTCTGATGTTGATTCAACCCTTTTTCTTCTTTTGATCTTGAGTAAGACCTAGGCAACAATGGATGCCAATTGACTTTTCGAATTTCTAATCCTTTGCGTTCTTTATCTCCAAAGCTTTCGTGCACGATTAATTACACCGATTGTTTCACAAGACTTCAATTTGATCCGCCGTTCTCCGCTACTTCCTTTGCGTTCTTTATCTCCAAAGGTTCCTTTGCGTACTTTATCTCCAAAGGCTTTTACAACGCCGCAATCATCTCTTGAAGATTTTGCACGAAAACCCCCAAATCTTCAATCGATCTTGGAGGACAAACCCGCGGTTTTTTCGGATGAAGACCCTTGTAAATCTCAACCCAATATCTCGGCTACACAAGAACCTAATTGGACTTTATCAGTCCTTCACCTAGCTGGTAGCCCAACAAAAGATTGGTGGCAGAGAGGTAATTCTTAGAGTAAAAAAATAATCAAAACTGACCAACTTAAACAGCACGTGTCGGCCTGAACTTTGGATGTGCCGACACATACTGTAAAAAATATCAGCATGTGTCGACCTGAAATGACATATGCGTCGACCAAACTGAAGCAAAACCTATAGCCTTATTTAGGATAATAGATGTGTCGGCCTGAAACATGTATGTGCCAACACATAATGGTGAAACTATCAGTATGTGCCGACCTGTAGAAGGTATGTGTCGACCAAAACAAAACAAAAGCTACAGGTTTTAATATTGAGTTACATATGCTGACCTAAAATGCGTATGTGCCGACACATGTAATGCATTTTTGTGCAAAAACAAAACATAAGTTATATGTTTTAATATTGAGGTACATGTGTCGGCCTAAAATGTGTATGTGCCGACACATGTAATGCATTTTTGTGCAGAAGTATGTTTTTCATATTTTTGGGCAAGTTCAAGGTGGTTTTTGATGATTCATAAGACCTCTAATGCAAGGGAGCCACACATACTCAGAGCAGCTGTCCCATATACCAAAATGCAAAGTAGTTTCAATGTTTTGACATCACACAAAACACCTCATGGTAAAGTTGCACTCATAGAGGTGAGATCGGTGAGCTTGAATGATCAGCCAGGTGTAGAGTTGTCGGAGTAGGAGACATTTGCGACATAGCATCAGATGTGTGACATTTGAGATATATTGAGTTTGTGTGAATTCTAACACAATAACACCTAAATTTATAGAAGACCTAACTCAATATGGACCACTCATTAACTGTCATGTTGATTCCAGATATATATCTCCGGAAAGACATCATATTATCTTGTTCTGGAGATGCATCTTCAGAACTTTTCCTGAACCATTTCAAAACAGAACAATATAACATAACCTTCCAGAGATGTATATCCGAAACTTTCCCTGAACCATTTCGAAAATAGAACCATATAACAGACACTTTATTTATATTAAGATACAAAGTTATACAGTTATTTGTCCAGTTAAATAAGAAATCAAAACGAATCGAAACAAGTGTTGCCGGCTAAATCTATAAGTGGTATCCCCTTGTATTTTTGTGCATTCGATTCTTTTTCAATGTTGTTTAATCTCTCAAATTCTCGCATCCTTTCCAAGAAATGATTTGGCCACGTCTTGCATTTTGCGGTTGAATGAGCCATCCACTCCGGTGATGTAGGTGGTATGGCGCAACCTAAATTCAAGTAACCTTGAACAAAATGACTTGATTTTGAAAGCCATCAAGTACACATGATACGATCATTTGGAATTTGGTGTGGTGCGGTACACAGTGGAAAAATGTTTCCGAAAAACTGTAGCGTGTCAGGTCAATGCACACCCTATCATATACACATGCAATTAGGTGATCCATATCTGGGAAGCTCATCCATTTTGACTCCGGTGCCAAATCGCTCAAGCAAGAAACAAGATACTCATAAACCACATCTAATTTTTCTTTATTTCTGTACATCTGTGTGTACGATTCTTTATGCGTCTTCAGCTCTTGGATAAGTTGATGTCGTACAAGCGCATGAATATCTTCTCCTTTGCCGAGTAAATCTGAAACGGATCGGTAATCGCAATTACCATCCCCCATAACATCGATAATCCGCTCGATATATTTGTGCATAAAAATCGGTATCTCGTCGATGAATGGAATCTTCAATGGAAGCGGCGTCAGAGGTGGTTTGCTAATGCGGGATCCTTTCACAACACTTTTTATAGATTTTGGAGTCGGTGAGTCAGGAAATACTTTGTTAACGTGTTTAAAATATGAAGGAGATCGTGTAGTCGAGTTGTCATTCGGTGTAGGCTTCATTTTCTTCGAATCATCTTTTGTTTTTACCGGTTGAGAAAGCGGTTTCATGTCAGTGGTTCTGGGATAGGAAATCGTCCTCAATTGTTTTTTAATGTGAAGTTTCATGATGTCATCGGTCTTCGAAAACCTCTATTGTATCGCTTTCCATTCATTCAAAATAGAGATATTTGATTTCCCGTCATCCATGCACCCATCATCATCATCAAACCTAAGTCTTTTTCAATGAGAGAAAACCTCGTCCATTCTTATTGGTTCACTAAGCTTCACTTTTTTAGCAATAGTACAAGTACACAGAAGACAATATATTTTTACAATAGCGCAACCATACATTGCGCTATCGGAGCCTACATTACTTGCTCGTTTAGCCTCGTAAAAAATATAGTCCAAACCCTCCCGAGAAATGTTATCGGCCAATTGAGAATATAAAGTGTTGTCTTTAAATCGGTGTTCCAAAACCGTGATGCTCTGACCAAATGTTGTTTGTATCTTATTATGCTGGTTCTGAATCATGTGGTTTACGGAGTCGCAATCTCGACACAAATCCCCCTTTCTATTTCCCAACCAATATTTCAAAGTAGTATGGGCTGACTCAACTCTCTTAGTAGTTGTATTTCTAAGGTGTTTAACATTATCAATTCACACGCAAACTATCTTCTCCTTCACCTGATCAAGAATGGTGCTTTCAACATATTTCAACAAAGCAAGATATTTTTCACACACTTTTCGAAAATGAATAACGAAATCGGCATATAGTTATTTTATGGAAGAATTTATTATTCGATTCCATGCATCCACTATTTTTTCCACAATCACATCCGTCTTCACAAATTTTCCACCTTCGGACTCTATTGGTTTCATCCCTACCACGGGTTTTACCCGACTTCTCACATTCTTTGTTATGTGATACTTATAAAGTAATGCATAAGAAGAAGAAAATACCTTAGCAACTGAGTTCATCAACGCGGTATCGCGGTCGGTAACAATCGTTTTAGGCATCTCATCTTGATCCTTCAAAAGTGACCGACAGACCTCTAATGCTCAAGTAAAATTCTCTTCTTTTTCACAGTCAAGAAATTTAAAACCAACAGAATATGTCTTCTCAGGTGAGATAACACCAACCATCTCAAATAATGGAAGTCTATACTTGTTGGTCTTGTAGCTTGAGTCAAGTATGAGCACCGTCGGAAACGTGTTGAACAACTTTTTAGAATCAGGATGAGTCCAAAATATATCTCTAACTGTAACTCCATCATCGTACGCTCTGTATCGGTACACGTAGTTGTTATCGTCCAACAATTTCAAGAGTTGTTGCATCTCCATTTTATCCGCCTAATCGCCTTGTTAGTGAGGTACTGAATGTTATACACTTGCTTGATATTCGCTATATTGTCGGGTTGCTTCTGTTTCAATGTTGCAAGTATATTTTTCGGTTGAACAAGATTCAAGGTCATGTCACTAATACATTCCTTCTTGTAATACCCCAAATTTTGCCCTAAGATTTGTCGTCGCATTTCATTGCATTTAATCAATTACTAACAAATTTGTGTAGTCGTTTGACTTTTTGCAGGTAAATATCATATGGCATGTATTTTTTTTCTAAAAAGTAAAAATGGCACAATTGGCAAGAGGACATGTGTAAGGAGTTGTGAGTGTGAGAGGTTGAGAGTTCGAATCTCACCTTAGTCAGTTTTTGTTTAAAATGGGCTTTAGGGACATTATTGACAATTTGGTGTTAACCCTAATTTGTTCCCTATATATACATGTGTTGCCTTGTTGAAAAAGGGGAGGATGAAAAAAACCTAAGAGGAGTGAGTGCCGTTTACCGTTATTTCTTTTCTTTCATCTATTACTGTTGTTTCTTTTTCTTCATCGTTTACCGTTATTTCTTTTCCTTCATCTATTACTGTTGTTTCTTTTTCTTCATCTTTACCGTTATTTCTTTTTCTTCATCTATTACCGTTATTTCTTTTTCTTCATCTATTACTGTTACGTTTATATATTTATAATTTTTAAATTGTTAGAGTTTATATATATATATATATATATATATATATAAGATTAATTTTTGATCGAATTATGTCGATACGATGTTTGCACATTTGTGTGCATGACGCGTGACATTTGTGTTAGTTCGATCTGATTGCGATGATCGCATTTTTGTGTGAGCAATAATACTGTTTTTTGCTTAATTTCTTTTTCTTTGCGATAAATTTTGTTTCGTCCGATTTAGATCTGGTTGCGATGAGCGCATTTCTGCGTTAGCAACATTGTTGGGTTATTTGGCACATTAAAATTCATTATTGCTTTATTATTATTATTATTATTATTAGTATTATTATTATTAGTATTATTATTATCATTATTTATTATTATTATCATTATTATCGTTATTATTACCATTATTATTATTATTATTGTTATCATTAATTTATTAAAACTTGTTATAATATAAAAATCTGTTTTTTTAAAATAAATAACATTAACATCTTTTCCAAATTAATATGAAAACCTATTATTTTTAAGAAAAACTTTTTTTTAGATAAATTTAAAATAATAACTAAAATCTTTTTTTTTAAAATAATAACTAGAACCGTTATTCATTTTATTTTATTATTGTTCAATTCAAATTTCATTATCATATTGTATCTGCTCCTCTCATCTAACCTCGCGAACTTAACAATCGCTCTTTAAATTCTGCCTTTAAATTTCTGCTTGCATGGTTTAAATTATGATATTATCTCTCTGTTTGCATGATTCAATTATCTCACGCGTTTACCATTATTTCTGTCACATTGCACACATCCGAAGGTTATGTCTAACTGTTTGGCCGCCGCGCTAATAGTCCGTAAAACTTCACACATTCAATTTCAAATCCTCAAAACTTCAAACCCTTACCTAACCCTAATTCACTTAACAATTTACAACGTAGATATTGGAGTTTCTACACTCCGCGTAAGCGTGTCCCTAAGATACGCTTATTCCCCATTGAAACCTTGGCCACAGTCAAGACGTTTCTAACCTCCCTTTTGAGGGGAACTACAGTTACTCTGATTCCATTCCCGTAAGGATATGTAGGTACAAGATGCGATGTCTTGCCGAGTAAACTTAGAATTAACCCCTAGGTCTTTTTTAATTTTCAATCCTTTGTATATACCCTTAAGCAAAATAATTAATGAAATAAATAAAAAAAAATAAACAAAAGGTTCCCGTAGAGTACTACGGAAGTTTAGGGTGCTAATACCTTCCCTAAATTTAACCAACCCCCGAACCTTAGATCTCTCCCTTTTAGGTTTTTCCTTTCTTTAACCTTTCCTTCGGATAAATCAAAGACCGGTTGTAAATGAATTAAGATTCAAGTTAATCAATAGCTTGGCATCCAAATTTCACCGCAACACTTCTTTTCTGGATTGAGCCGACATACACTAGGATGACCGACTAATTTTAAACGTAAATCATGATTATGCAAACCACATATCACATTAAATTTTCAATTTTTGTTTGCCAACATATAACCACGAGCTTTAAAAGGACACTCACATTTCTTACTATCCGTGTCGTCTCTTTTAAGATTCTGGAGAGGAGTTCGATGTTTTCCGCTTCTTTCGTAAAACATTGTCACAAAGGCACATCTTTTATCTGAGCCATTATCGGGCATTCCGATTGCCATACCAAATCCAAGTCTAGATACCTACATCCGAATCCATTCGAACATTTTTTCACGATTTTCAAACTCTTGCTTGTTATTAAAGTTGTTGCCAATATCTACCGCCTTCACAACAACCCCTTGAACATTCGGAGAAACTACTTGTTTTGGGAAAACGTCGGGGTGCACCATATCTATTGAAAACAATTAAAACAATAACTGAACATTAATTAATCTACTATTGCAGAAGGCTGAAAAGTGAATGTCGCGGTGAAATTTGGATACCAAACTATTGATTAATTTGAATCTTTAATTCATTTTGCAACCGAACTTTGATTTGTCCAAAGGAAGGGATAAAGATCGAAATTCCCACAATGCAATGCAAATGCAAGCTAGATTGTTTAGGTTCGGGGGTTGGTTAAACTTAGGGAAGGTACTAGCATCCTAAGTTTCTGTAGTACTCTACAGGAACCTCTTGTTTTATGTTTGTTTATTGCTAAGTGTTTATCTACTTAAAGGATTAGAGACCCTAGTGGTTTATATCTAAGTATACTCGATAAGATGTCGCATCTTATGCCTACATATCCTTACGGGAGTGGAATCAGAGTATTTTGTAGTTCACCCTAAAGGGTTAGAGGAGCTCTTTGACTGTGGTCAAAGTTCCTACGGGTTTAGGGTAGTTGTTTTGATTGGGTTTAGGAGAAGAGATGAGTCTTCATTTTAAGGGAGAGATAACCACCACAAGTGTAAAAGGGGGTTGTAGGAAATGGTCTTTGCATCGTCTTAAGAAAAGGTCTTACATACTCGGATGGTCGCCAAGTATGCCTTTATCGCTCTTAAGGCAAAGTCCCTACATGTTTGATTGTATTGTTGTGGGGGTGGAGATTATATCTCACTTAAGATGATTAACATCTATTCTCTGTTTGTGTTTGAAAAAGTTGTATTGTTGATTATGTTTGTCTAAGTTGTAAAGATTAAGGTCCTTCCTATGGGGTAGGATCTATCCTAAACGATCAACTTGAAGAATCAAGGATCTAAGGGAATATGATGCATATGATGTGCAACTACACACAAGTGCTGACTCATGTGTAGGTTTTTCCTTTGGACGGATGCGATGCGATAATATAAGTACGATAATGTAAATTGCGATAAGTAGATAAATTGCAAAAATGTAAACCATACACATACGCATGAAAGCGCTAAGTGAGTGTGTGAATTGTGTATGTGATTGCGGGAATAAAGTATACGCATGAAAGCGCTAGGTGTACAAGTGTTGTGTCGTGAATGTGCACGATTGATTTTATGCGAAGTTGATTTATTTTTTTTAGTCGAGTGAGTTGAATTGATTTTATTAGCGGGGGAATTGATTTTAAAAGGTCATTGCGTTGTTTTTAATTGAATTGTGTTTAGTGAGGTTATTCGATTTTAAACGGATTGTTTTAATTTTGGTTGAATTAATATTATGAGAAAATATATTGTGTTTGGTGAGATTGGTTAAAAAGTTGTAAATTGGTTTTAAGTGAAATGGTTAGAAAGAAAAATGGTTATATTGATTTTAGGTTATAAATTAGAAGTTGGTGGGGTTTTTTTAATAAAGAAAACTTTCTTAGTTATTATCAAATAAAAGTTAAGTTAAACAAAATGTTATTACAAATTAAATAGATTATGAGATGGAAATCAAATAATTTTAATTATAAAAAAAAATGAATGAATTAGTATAAAAAAGTTGATAAATAAATAAGTTTAGAAAAGAGTTTATAACAAGTTTATTAATTGTTTTTAGTAAAAGTTGATTATAATAAAGTTAAATATTAGTAAGGATAAAATGGAGTTATTATATTAATAATTCAAAAAAAAAGATTTACTAAGTTTAAAATAAAAATGGGTTTAATTGGTTTATTTGTTTTTAAATGAAATATCTGAATTAAAAAGTTTAATTAATTTAATAAAAAGATTATATCACTAACTTAGGATTAATTAAATTTTAAATGTTAATTAAAAGTTAGTTAAGGGATTTAAAAAAAGAAGTTAACGGTGATTAAGGGTGAGGTTAGTGGTGATGTGTGTGTTAGTGAGTGTTAGGGTGATTAATATGATTATAATTATTACATCAGATTTAATAAAAAAAGAAAAAAACCTAATCCCCCCAGATCTTCCCCAATTCGTCCTCTCTCCCATCTTCGATTTCGCGATTCTCCTTCGAGAATCCTCTTTCTCTTCTTCTCGCGTCTTCTCCGATTGCTACTCTCTCTTCTTCTTCTCTATTTTTTCTGCACGAATTCAAAACAAACAAACATAATGTTAAAATGTTAGAAGAAAATCCTCACGATTTGATGTGCTTTTTTCGCAGGTCCGAAGGCGGTGAGGATGCGAAAGGTGGACTGCTCGCGGTTGACGGTAGTGGCGGTTTCCGACGTTGGCGATTTGAGGTTTGCGGAGATGATCTCGTGAAGGTGGCATCGTAGTGATGGAAGGACGATGGGGTAAGTTCTTTTCTCCTCCGCGATGCTAGGTCTTTTGAATATTTTCTGGATTGGTGTTCTCTTGTCTGTGTGATTTTGTTGTTTGATTTCTGTGTGTATCGTCCCCCTTCGTACTGATGTGATGCTCCCTTTATACATGAACGAGAATTCAAGATTCTTTAATCGCTTTCAAAACCCTGTCGGTACTCTGTTGTCCTCGTATTGATGAGATAATGAGACATTTCCTAATTGATTGGAACATGTCGGTGGCTGTTAATCTTCGTTATAAACTATTTCCTTTTTGACCTAACTTGTCTTATATTGTTGTCCTGTTGTTACAATGATGACTTTCCTTCTTGGATTACAACACAGCCTGGCATATTTCTCTATCCAACTAATTCTCTATGTTGCTTATGGTTATTGATTTTGCTGTATCTTAAACCAAATCTGCTGGCTTCATTGACTTTGTTATTAATGCTTTTTCTCTCTTCTCAAATTATCTTAAATAAAACCATTTGGTTTCCTCTTCAAAGACTGGCTTCATAACGCAAATAATGTACACAGGTTGCCGGTGACAGAAGTGTAGGAGATTTCGTCTGCCCGACCTGGTGAAGCTGGTTTGCGGCTATCTGATATGCGGGGCTAGTGTCGTCAGGACACTCTTTGCTTAGGAAAGTTTGGGATTTAGCACGTGTTCATTGGGTGTAGGTGTTGATGGATCAATTCAACCTTCTACAAGTTGTCGCAGCTGCTAACCATGCCAGCAATCAAATAAGCTCACTAGAAGGATACAACATATTTGAGGTAATCTTGTTTCGCAAATGTTAAATGGTCCTTGAATCTGCAACTGCATATTTGCTCAATGATTTTCTTCTGATTTTGTTGCAGGTTTTGAAGAAGAGAGGTGTACGACCGCATTTGGAATTAACTCAACAATGGCGGCATGACGAAATCTCCGGTATGACGAAGTTGCAACAGTGCGGGATTCAAGATTACTCTCAACATATGCTGAATGTTCAACATTACGAACTGTAATAACATCTTGCGGCTTTCCCTGCGAGTATATCTACTGTGGGCATGCTTCTTGGTAATGTACAATGCTTGTTATCGTGTTGTAGGTCCTGATGGTGCTTCTATGTCATCACTTCATGTCCTTCATAATGTATCCTCATTGGATGCTAGCTTGTATTTAATTTGAGCACAAACACTTTGGTGCAGGGGCTGATTGGAGAGATGGCGCATGTATGACATCCATCAACGAACTTCTGCTAATATTTGCGAAAGCTTTCGGGTCTTAACTCTGAAAGGTTGCGGTTTGCTGTATAGAACTCCAACCTCTTCAAATGTATCTCCTTCTCCATTTCTTCATTTTGATTTTGATATCCATTAATGCTGCTTTCTCACGGGTTTGGTTCGTTTACAGGTGAACTAACGGCGGTTAAGTGATATGCTCTCCAACTAAATCTCAGCTCGAGAGATTTCCATAGCCTAGGATCCACTACTGGTGGCAACTTTACCACGAGATGCGGTAAAATAACTGAGAATTCCATCACCTTCCAAATGAACCTCTTCTTGAATTACTCTCTCTGAATCATTGCTGCTAGTTTGACAGGTTGTGTTTGGTTTCAAGGCAGCAGCAACCCGACTGATATACGAATGCCTTTAGCAGAGGTCGCTTGGATTCAAAGTAGTGAGCGAGAAGTCTTGGGAAGCGTATAGTGCAGTGTAATTAGCAGTAAAACCATGTTGTGATAGTTGCATTTTTACAAACTTGGTTGACGCATTGTTCGTCATCTACAAGTGCCGACAAACATTTAGGCCAATACTTATTTCCTCCTGTTTCTTTTTTCAGATTTTCTTCATTCATTCAAAGTACTCAGCTGTTTGAATCAACGGTTTATTTCTTTGGAGCTGGGAATTTGTTTCTTTTCACCACGACGACTATTGGATGCTTGCTCGCCCCATGTGACGATTCCGTCTCTTTGTATTTGGTAAGTATTGTAGTATTTGATGTTTATAGGTGATGGCTTTCATTAAGTCATATCTTAGCTTCTATCTCTGCCTTACTCGTCTGTGAATACCAATTGTGGATGGCTCTTAATTCCAATTACCGTCCGCTTTGGATTTATCAGCTTGACTGTTTAACTTCCTTGGTGCAGGTGTTTTCGCATGAGCCGACACAAACGCCGTCATTTCCCCCTGCTGCCATGATAGCTGCGGGTGATCTAGCGACTAAAGCATCTTGATATGCTCCCTCTTAGGCTAATGCAGCTGGAAAAAGCTTGAAGCAAGGTTCTGGTACAAACCAGTGCGTGTTATTGTCCTTTCATAACACGTTAGAGTTATGGCAACGAAGACATGGATGTTGGCGAAGAAAATATACGCAACATGTACAGCAGCGAAAATTAGCCAAATTATTTCTGACCGTTTAGGTTTTGTAATTCTGAGACAAAAATTATAATGAAGCTTTCATCGTAGTGACTTTTAAACTTTCATATCCATGGCACATATTTGAATTAGTCTTGAGTGCTGATTTTCCTGATATAGGCTTGAAACAGGCTAAGAACAAATCCAGTCATTCTTCAAATATGCTTTAAAATCCAATTTGAGGCCTAGCCTAGAATCGACTCAGCCTTAAACGGTTGTAAATCATGGTTTGAATGAAGCTACAACATTCTTTGAGGCTCCATTCACTTGCCTTTGGACTTTGTGATAATTCTTTCCTCAATTCATTATTGTACCACTTGGGGAAACTCTACAGAATCTTGATTAAGTTATATATATTGAATAGTGACCATGCCGAAATTTATCACTTGGTTAACGATGCCATTAAGGAAATCAAAAAGCAAAGTACACTATTAGCAGCTTAGCAAACAACAAAGTTAGAGCACAAAATGAGTGAAGTTCGACCCTGACTCCAAGATATCTTGCGTGGGAAAGCAATTAGGCCTTATATACCACAGATCCACGTGCTATAGTATTTTGATCTCGAACAAATCCGAGAATGATTTTAACGAGATATAACCGGGAAACGCATCTAAAGAATGTCTTCGGTGTATTGGTCCAATAACAGCTCAAGAGTGAAAGTAACGTTAGTAATAAAATAGATAAAATAATAATGGTAAATATGATAGAGATATAGATAAAATAATAATGGTAAATATGATAGAGATAAATATAATATTAGTAATAATAGTCGTAAAAAACATAAATATTAAAATAAAGTCAAATAATAGAAAAAAAACGCGAAGAGAGGCGACATCTTAGGGTCAAAAATTAGGGTGCAACAGTGAACATAGACACATTTTGAAAATACATCTCCAGAAAAGTTCAAACTCAAACAGGTTTCGGAGATACATCTCCGGACACAACGTAAATTTTTTCAAGAAAAATTGATGATGAATGTGAGCAATATAGCAAAAAAACAACAATCTTTACTTGAAATTCTATCTTATTTTACTTTCTGTGATATGTTGAATCAAAAGGATAGATATTTGGAGTGAAAAAATGGATCAAGAATGAATGATTTTTAGGGTGAGGGTTTATGTTTAAAAAAGAGTATGGTAACAATGGGGCACTGATCATGCAACTGCAAGCTATATCAAATATTTTTAAAGAAGAAACTGCTCCTCCAATCTAGGAGAAAGAATTGTTCCATACTCCCACGTATTGGTTAGGAAGTTGAGGAAAGACCATTTCCTTCCCATGATCCAACTCATAATTATGTCTACAAATATTTCAACCTCTAAAATCGTGAGATCCTTACAAATTTTATAGAGAAAACGGATAATGACTTTCTTTTTTGCTCTCAAATACGCAAGAGAGTCTGTTATTCTACTATACCTTTAACATTACATGTATATTTTCCATTTGTTGCCATAATAATTGATATTAGATCCAACAAACAGAAGACATAATCCAACTATGCAAAAAATAAAATAGAATATATTCATCAAGTTCATGCAAGTATTTTGCATACAATTTTTTAAAAACATGAAGTAATCCCTTGATTGTGAAACAAAAATCTCATTGCTTATTGACATAAAACATCCCTTCCGTTTATGTGTACATGCTTCCAAATTCATATAGCTATTTAGCTCTTTACAAGAACATGATAAAGATGTACATTATCATCATATTCATTTCAATCATTGAAAGCTTTACCTTCCAATTTCCAACATGTTTATAAATACAAAGATAGATTACACCAGAAATCAAGCTTTTCCATTTGCTGCTATATCAAGACTAGCTTTCCTTCTCCTCTCGCTAAAGCTACTCAAGCGCGGAAGGCAACACTGCACGGGCTTAACTGATTCATTTTCATCATTCATGGTTCTTTCAATGCTACCTGAGATATAAGGAGTGCTTTGTGCAGATTTAGTAAGATCATGTACAATTACTGGTATAACTTGTTTCTCTTCATTGCTGAAAGTTTTTCCTACTTCATCATTTCGCACTTCTCTCACACTTTCTCTGAAGAGTTCTAACAAATTCTTTTTCTTTGCAGACGGTTCAGGAGCTATATGAAGAGAAGAGTTTTTGTTGATGGCAGGGGTCCCAAATGAGTGGTGCACTGGAGTGGTTCCCCGAGATGGGGTGAAATCTGGATAGAAACAAAGAAACTTATATTTTGATTACAAGGAGAAGAGCAATGAAAACAGACTTCGATCCTCTCGAGGTCCTCCAATTGATCCATCTCCTCAAATCTCAATCGTTGGATTAATCTAATAGTTCAAGACCTCTCTCGGCTTTTAAATTAATACAACGACTGAGGTTTGGTTGGAGCAACAAGAGAGGCTACAGAGGATCAATCTCCCTACTTACTATAGAGGATACTACAAAAAGAAAAAAGGAAAAAGTACTAGAAGGCCTCCTTACCACCATTAACGCTATAGAAATCGTCTTCACAATCCGAGTCTAACCATCCCTTGGAATCAAAAAACGCTTCGTCTTTGCTATCTGCATCAAAAAGTTCAAAAGATTTTGTAAGAAAAACCAAAAACTGACACATGAAGCATAAACACAGACATTGGATACGACACTGATTTATTTATTTTAACTATATACGTCGGTGCCGTATTGTGATGGACACCAAACACGCCTTCAATCTAAAGTGTCAGTACTTGTTATTAATTCTCTTTACTTACCATGCGACTTTATTTCCATCAAAACACAATGACACATAAATACTTTGTAAACAAACATTTGAAGTAACAGTTGGCACTCATTTATTGCAGAAACATTAGAGGAGTCTATTTTCTGTTATGGTGTGTTATGATGTCCTAAAAGGAAACTATTCCTTAGAGTAATTACTCTCACGTGACAACCCTGTTGTGTTAAACTACTGGTCCCAAACTCCAATAGGGGAGGGACCATATGAAACTCAAAATCATAACCATGATGCATGATATTCTACTATATGTACTATATGTGTCCTAAACACAAAGCTATAGATACTCGAGTCTCTTAAATATTTGGCCGGTGGTTCGTTTTCTGACTTGTGCATACGGAGAAATATACATTGGAAAGAGACTAACGCTTTAAAATTGACTTCAATTACCCAGGAGATTAGTATCCGCAGTTGTACGCAGAGAATAACATAATTTCAATATAAAATTTAAAGTAGTCAAAATAATCCAAAATTCAACAAACTAACAATCAATAAGTGTTACTATTATCTACCCTGATAAATTGATATTGATCATACTATCCCTAAGGTAGGCCAACAACCAGATAAACCTTTCTGTTTGAATTTTGACCATAATATCAGTTGAAATTGACTGTGATATGAAAAAATCAGAATCATTTTTCTACCAACAATTAGTTAAAGCAATAATAGTATCATATGCTACAAAATCAATCTAGCAAGTAACAAAGATTAAAGCAAGCATATTAAAAACACCAAAAACATAAAAATAAACAAGACAGAGAAAATCTCAAGCATGAAGAAGACTAATAAAAGATAAACAATTCATAAGAGAGACCCCACAAGATATAAGATCACTAATCAATAGAAGACCCTCAGAAAAGTTCATAAAAGTGCTAAGACTCAGTTTTGATGAAAATATATTAATCAAAATGGTATCTTTATATCAGGGAGCAAACCCAGAAGGACCCTACCATTAAAGGTGTTGGAAGAAACATGATCGATCATAAAGTTATCATTTTTGGGTTTATCTTTGATGGGTGATGGGAGAATCACAAGCTTATCAACAGTTGTTGAACAAAGTGAGTTTCTTTGTACAGAAGAACAAGAACCCATATCAAAAAATCACTTTTTTTTCTTCAATATGACTGCAATTAATTCAAAGTTCTCAAGTGGCTTGCAGCATATAAATAGAGTTCATTTGATGGTATTGAAGACAAGGGAGAGTGGAGTGAAAGTGAAAGAGGAAGAGAGGTGAAGAATGAGCAAGAAGAAGAAGAAGGTGTTAGTTAGAAAGAAAAGGAAAAGAGCGAATGGGAGTGAAAGGAAGAAGAGAGAAAGTAAGAGGTGATTGGACTTGAAAGGAAAGCGAAATGGATAGATTCTAAGTAAAAGACAAACTTTCATTCATCTCTTTATTATTACATTTTAGAAAAAATTTAGGTTAAATTTGATGAACCATTATAATGGGATAATTTAACATTTAACCATTTTCTTTGTTAATAATTTTCTTATAATATTAATATGCATATCAATTTACTAAAAGATTTTCTAGGAGAAAATTATTATAATGTATAAGAGTTGAATTATAGGAAATCAAATAATTTACTCATTTACATTTAATATCATTTAAAATATAAAAAATGATAAAATAAAATTAAATATTAAAATAAAGTAGTTGTAATATTAATGTTAATTTATGTTTTAAAAATTAAATATAACTTTTGATTTATAGACCTTTTTAATGCACACGTTTAACGTGGATTCTGATCTGATGGTTAAGTTTGTTGAATTTCTGGTGTTCTTTAAGCTTTAATTTAAGGGGATATTTACAAGTATTATAATGTCCAATTTAATAATGATCCAAAGTGTGATATATTTGGAATAATGTGTATCTTGGACTAATGTGCCATCTCTCTTTTATATTGGAATTTTAGGGACTTAGATTCCTATGTTTGTTATAGCTGCTTGGGAGGATAGGTGTTAGAGGATTTCTGAAAGTATGGTCGGTCAATCCTTTATTCTTTAATTGTTTTAATTAGGTGTCTTTCTAAATTAGACTCATTTTAAGTTTTACGGTACTAAAACATTCTTTATAGATAACTGCTTTAAGTGATTGACATCAGCGGCCTAGCGTCTAAAACATTCTTTATAGATAACTGCTTTAAGTGATTAACATCAGCGGCCTAGCGTCAGTAATATCCTTGATTGAATAATTTAAAGGCATTAGGACTTAATTGGTTTTGCTTATATGTGTTATTAACTAGGGATGGATATGATCATTGAAATCGTCTTAGTCGGTCATGAGTGTGGATCTTTTAGAGGACCTCACGAGGTTCGTTAGATGAATTTGACGATCTTTATCAGGTGGACACCTTAATGAATTAGACCGAAATGGATTGGATATTGGCCTAGACCAAAACAGTAGCCCCCTAAGTCAGGATCGATGAAGACATGTCGTGGTTTATTCTTTTGCCCGTAGATGGAATTCATATCGCGAGGTTCCATGTATGTGGGTGTCTTATCTCACTTTGTTTGAAGCTTTCTCTAAATATGAATGTGCTTTCATTTCTTTAGTCTCTTTTAATGGGTCATTTAAAGGGTTCAAGTGCCTTCATATAACGACTTTGTACACTTAAAGTTTTTGCTCGGATAACATCATGTTTTTTAGGGATCATCATCCTTTGCTCTTTCGTGTTTTCTTCTCATAAGGATATGTCTTCATCATCCTGTTTTGACTTTTGGTGTTCTCCCTATCTCCACATAGCTATTAGGCATAATGTTAGGAGTTCTAGGTTGATGGGCACTTTTAATTTTTTTTTCTTCTTCAAAATCAATGGGTATGGTATAGGGAATGCTTGTGTGATGAGTGAAAATATAAAGAATATTTCTTTGGCAATGCCACATGGTTATTGATCATTATTTTCTTATTGTCATTGGGTTCTAAGATCTTGTTTGATCTCTTGGAATTTATGGTCCAAAATGCTTATATAAAAAGGGGTGTTTGTTTCTTATTCTCTTTTGTTTTATTTTTCATTCTAAACCTTGATATTATGTATTTCACTAACTTCTGGGTAGTTCTTTTGAAGTTTTTGCACCATTTTCTCGCTCACAACTTGTTCACTCAATCATTTGCAACTTCTAGATTTCTGTAACTTCTTGGATAACTGCTTCTATCATATGTAATTCATTTTGGAATCTCTTTATTGGTCCATTTGTTTTTTCTTTTTATTTGACTATTTGTTTCCGTTATGCTTTGTAATTCATCTCATTATAAGTCTTGAGATGGAGTGTCTTAGAAATTTAGTAGACCTTGTCTAAATTTGATCAATTTAGACCACATTTCTTCAATATGTACATACACTTGAGAAACTTTATTAAGTGGACCATACACGTACCTTCCCTAGAGGACTGTTATCTCAGTTGTAGTTTCCCCGCATATGATGTTGTATTTCAAAAATAGAGACTATAAATACCTTTTACTAGGTTCAAATGTCAACTTTTAATAAGTTTTCAGTTGACTTCTCAAATTTACCATCTTCTTAGATTTATATTAAGGGTTTCCAACATTTATGTGTATCTCAGAGTTAAAGTATGCACTTTTGTTTTCTATACCAAATTTAGTTTACCATGGAGATTGATTGGTGGTCAACATGGTTTAATTTTATTTGATTTGGTTATCAAAATTTCCAAATCGCTAGTCTTTATACGTGTTGATAGCTATAACAAATTTAGTGAAATTTTTAATTAATATTCAGTTATTAATTGGGGTTCTTAGAGACAAATATATATATATATATATATATATATATATATATATATATATATATATATATATATATATATATCTATATATATATATATATATATATATATATATATATATATATATATATATATATATATATATATATATATATATATATATATATATGAAAAATGTTTACATCCATTGTGAATATATCAAGTCCACAATTAGATGCTAGTTGTTTATTCTAGAGTGAAGATTTATCATGAAAAGAATAATGCGTGAAGGGAATAATGCAATGTGCTGAATGTTTGCATTATATCTTAGGAAAAAGTTATATCAAAGATAGGACAATGCGTGTGATGTGGTGTGGGGTATCTCATGACTCATAAATTCATGAATACTATACATGACGTGTGTAGTTATTATAGATACATAATGCTGTATAGTAGTGTATTGTATGTTGATACTTCGAGAGTGGCCCCACAGTTACATGAAAATGGATTGTTAGGTTGTGAATTTGGAATCTAAATTAAGTACTCTACTTTTCATAATATATGTAGGTAGTAATATATATTTGGGTTGAATATATTTTTAATTTTTAACTTTTAGTTTTTTAAAAAATATTCTTAAAAATTATTCTCCTAATATTTTTCATATATACTTTTAGTCTATCTGTTAGTTCTAAAATTCGACGCTTAGTTTTGATTAACGGAAATAATAGGAAAAAAATGTTATATAAAGTTATGAGAGGTTTCGACAAAATTATGAAACTTGTTTGTTTTGGTTGAAGTCATCTCTTTGTATAAGGAGGATATGCTTAATAAGATTTGAAAAAGAATATTCCAAGTCTTAAAAGTTGGTTCGACAGAGAATTGGTAATTGTGTTTCGACATGAGATTTGAATTCAAATAAAGGAGAGAACTTTTGTTCTTATCCAGATTTTTGAAGGAAACACATGGAGCATTTTTAAGGAAAGAAAACATGTTGAGCGCCACTTGTCTTATTTTTGTAGGAAGACCGTTAGAGTCAGTTATTTTCGATTATTATAAATAGAAAGTCCTAGCGTTAGGATTGGGGTGTTCAAATCTGTACAAAATCTCTAGAATTACTCAAAGTACCCGTGTGCAGAGAAAAGAATGTGTCGAGAAAATGTATGTTTGACAAACATCATATTTTTACACTTTAATTCAAGTTTTGACTTTTTACCACAAGTTTATCTTCTTTATTGCTCAAGTTATTTCAATGCATTTAATTACTATTGATTAAGTTTATGAAATTTACTTCCTTTGAATTTTGAAGCTTGTTATTGTTAGATCATGAGTATTGTCGAAGTATTCACCATTTTCCAAACTTTAATTTAAGATTTACTAACACATGTCCTAGGATATGTATGGTCGATCATGTAAGTAACCCAATTATTTTTCGATTTGAAAAGACTAGTGGTTGTTTACTAATTTTTACAGTAAACAAATTGGCACGCCCAGTGGGACAGTGATAGTAGTGTTCTTTCTACAATTTTGTTTTATTGTCTTTTCTCTTTGAAAACTTCGTTGTATGTTATTAAGAAGTGGCAAAGTAGCCACCCGTGATGAGGATAAACCAAGGAAAATATATACTAGGAGAATGGCGAATTCAAATAAGCCAAATGTTTCGATTCTTCAAAGTTCATCGAGTAACAATCGAGAACCGCCCCAAGTATCTTCAATCGGGGGAACAACGTCCTAACGACTGTCTCAAAACTAATGACATCCATGACAAGTTCAATGCCCACGCAGTCGATTACCCATAGTGAGCCCATTCTAAATTATATTGGGCCAAGGGGTCCTCTAATAACCCCTCGACTAATAAGGAATGCTTCGAATATGCCCTTCATTCCCCCAGGTTTCTCTATGCCCTTAGGCAATCGAAATCAACCTTATGGAATGCCAACATCTATGATGGCAAATTTGCATAACGTCGTCTCAACATTCTCAGAAGCAGTAATGAATGTTACTTCGACATTACAAGGATCAGGATTTGGGATAAATATGGGTCGAAGTAGCCAACATTTAGGAATTGGTTATTCCACCCAAATGCCAAACTTGACTAATAATTATGCAGTGGTCATTAGGCAGCAAATGTATGAGAGTAATCACGAAATGGTCCAAATATTGGCCTAAACAACGGGGACGATTTTTAATCCCCTAATACAAAGCACCACTCAATCCAACTAACAAATGACAGCGCATATGACACGCCTTGCAAATTTTTTTGGAGTGCCACAACCTCCTCGACATCCACATAGAGAATACGTATTGGAAAATCAGGGAATAGTCCTCGAAGAAGATCCTACCATTAATTAAGTTCAACCAAAACAAAGAGACCC